GAATTAAAGCTCCTAATTCGAACTACCGTTATTCCTCCTGCAAGGAGGTTTAACGGTAGTTCGAATTAGGAGCTTTAATTCGAACTACCTAGTCCATGCTGCATGTAGCCGCGGGCAGGTAGTTCGAACTACGGGTATTTAAAAGTGGCGCCCACCCGGGAACATGCAAATGAAGCCCGGGATATTTAAATCCCGGGCTTCATTTGCAAGTTCGAATGCCTACATTATCCACCCTAGTTCGAACTAGGGTGACAGTGTAGACATACCCTATGTGACTTGCTGAAGGCCCAGCAGGAAGTTTGTCGCAGAGCAAGGACTTCAACCCAGATCTCCCAAGTGCTAAATTTGTGCCCTAGCCCTGGCATCATTCTTCCTCGTTATCAGAAAATAAAGTCTGACATGGAATGGCCATGGTTGGAAAATGACTTGAAATGAAAAGGAGAACTTTCTTGATAGTTTCAGACCTCTGAGAGGAAAAGACCATTAATGATTCGTGTTGGCTCTCAAGAAAAAAACAGTAAACTTGCCATCTCTGAGACATGAAGGAAACATGGAGTTTCGTATAATAGGGGAAGCTGAAAGTGGAGCTGAGTTTCCCTCCTTACCAAACTTATCCTTATTTTCTTCTCTCTCCCACCTATGACCCATATGATTTCACTGAGGAGTTCTATCTAAGTCTATGGCAGGTTTGTGATGTTTTCTCCAATGTGCCTGCTTTTCTCATTTTAAAATAAATAGGCTACGTCTAGACTGGCATGATTTTCCGCAAATGTTTTTAATGGAAAAGTTTTCTGTTAAAAGCATTTGCAGAAAAGAGCGTCTAGATTGGCATGGATGCTTTTCCGCAAAAGTACTTTTTGCGGAAAAGTGTCCATGCCAATCTAGATGCGCTTTTCCACAAAAAAGCCCCAATCGCCATTTTTGCGATTGGGGCTTTTTTGAGCAAAACAAATCTGAGGTGTCAACACTGGCCCTTTAGCGCAAAAGCTTTGCACAAAAGGACTTTTTCCCGAACGGGAGCAGCATAGTATTTCCACAAGAAGCACTGATTTCAGACAGTAGGAAGTCAGTGTTCTTGCAGAAATTCAAGTGGCCAGTGTAGACAGCTGGCAAGTTTTTCCGCAAAAGCATCTGCTTTTGCGGAAAATCTCACCAGTCTAGACACAGCCCTAGGGGCTAGCCATGAAGGTCCCTCCCAGGCACTATTCCCATTGAATTCAATGAATGAATGGGAGTTGTAAGAACTGGGATAGGCTTCAGCACACAGATTACAATGTGTACAGCATGTATGACATGATTTCCTGAACCATTACAACACTGTTTATAAAACTTCTACCTTGCTATATTTAGCCATGAATGGCTGGGTAATTAATATACATCTGATAATGTTTCTCCTTTCCTAGAACTGCTTTAATCGAGTGTCATTTCCTCTTTATAAACCAGAAATGTGCAAAAGTTAAAGCTTTCATCAGGTTGTTACCATCTAACCTGGGTAATGAGCTGAGT